CATTGACGAAAAGGATATTATACTAATCCATCTTTTTTTCTCATTAACTCAAATATCATATGTTTCACCACCAAAAGGATTATACAATGACATAATTTCATCGCTATAAGTCTTTCTTATATTAATTTCAGAGATGACATCTGAAGATATTCGAAAAATGATAGAACATCATTCTGTCATATTGCTAAACAAATACGAAAGATGACCTCTGATTGTACAGCCAGACGATAGTAACATTTATGTAAAAAAAACATGCTCACTTGATTTTCAAAACAGTTTTAGTAGACCCAGAGTTATACGAAGGAAAAATCTTATCCATAAGGTATAACATAGGTTTATTTCTAAGAAGCTACGAAGTTTAAGTCAGCCGGATAAGTTACTTTGAATTTTCAAAAGAACAATCAATCGCATATATTTCGAGAACAATCTTCACACATGTGTTTATCATGTTACAACTTAGCTAAATCTTTGAAATGACTACGAATAATGAAGAATATCGTTTGTATATTAAATAAAAAAAGTCGTTACGAAAAAAAAAGATTATTGTTAAATTTTATTTACTAATGAAAATATTTTGAATTGAATAGCATATTCAATCGTCAGAATGATCATGTTTATACTTCAGTGTATTTAAAAACAATCTTTCAATTTCAATTATATTCAAACCTGTTGAAATATGAACATATATGAAATATATCGAGATTGTTCTTTCGCATGCACAAATTGAAGGTCAACATCTGTTAGGTAATGATTTCATTTATCAACAAAAAAGCATACCACAGGTTGTACAAGCAAAATCGTAAACGTATGTCGTATATAATGAATGTATACGGAGTGAAGTGATCAGAAATAGATTCCGTATACAGTCGATGTATATTGAATTTTATTAAACTGCTGCGAAAGTGCATGTCCATAATTGAACAAGATGAGAAAGGTAATGATACTATCGTTTTATCGCATTAATGCAATGCACAATAAGTATAAACTATTTATTTTATTTTTTCTGTTGTTTAGATTATATTATGGCAAAAGTGCCGCGGAGATATACGATCATAATACAGAATTATCCAGTACAGCTCAATATGTTCTTGTACGAGACTCCGTATTTTTCGATATGAGACATTTGTGATTCATTAACATCGATTAAGCACAACATCATGTGTGTTATTGATGAAACAAAATGACTGTTTAATAGTTCAGATCTCAACATTTTAAATCATTATGTATAATATCATATGAAAATAACTTTTGTTGTTTGCAATATGAAAAACTCGAATAAGTAGAAGTTTTTCAATTTCAAAAAACAAAACCTAATTATGTATCAAATAACATTTTTAGTACAAATTGTAGAGCTAATTCTATTACATTTACTGATATATTTTAATTTTAACTAAAGCATATCTGATAATTATAAATATCAAACATAAAAGTAGTTCATTAATTTATTAGACATTCATGAAATTCAACAATTTTAAAATTTTTATTAATTCGATAAACAACAGGAATTTTTGTTATTTATGCAATGTCGAAAATTCAAAAGTGAAATTCAAAATACTTCGTTCCGTGATTTGAGCTTAGATGCCATCTAGTTATTATATTTTTATTTTTATTCAATAATGCAAATTTATCTTTTCTTAATCTTCTCTATAAATTTATTTATTTTTTTCATAGTATTACTAATATAAATTTGTTAGTATGCTATCTATGATATTTTTTTCTTGATTAGTAACAAAAACCAAAAAATAAAATTGTTCTATTTTTTTAGAGAATGAAATATATTCGTAGAAGATTATATGTTCGATATTTAGGCGTTGGGAGCAAGTAATCGACGAAGAACTGGATCAGATTTACATCTAATAAAAAAAAAACATTCATAAATAATAAAATAAAAGCATATAATTAAATAAAATATACCCGCTAACAAACTCTGCTTTGGTTAATTTTTTATCACCACTAACATCGAGTTTTGCTATAATATCTGTAGCACGTTTTTTTGGATCATTATCACCTTTACGATTAGTTTCACCAACAAGATCATACTGAAAAATACAGAACAATAATTATTTTCTTTGAAGAATATAATCAAAACTTTACCATAGCTGTAATCAATTTTGTTAATTCTGCTTGATCAATTAATCCATCATCCGAAATATCATACCTATATATTATAGAGATCATAAATAAAACAATCATGTATTTCATATACTTACATATCAAATGCAACGGCAAGACGATCGTCAAGATTACCTTGACTTGAAGCTGAAATAGCAATAAGAAATTCTTCAAAACTTATTGCACCATCATTATTGGTATCGAATGTATCAAAAGCATATCTAGAAATTCAAATAAATAATCAATATGTATGAACTGAACAAAACATTCAAAAATCATCATTTAATTTTACTTGCAAAAGTTATCTGGTTTGCCTTGTGGATAGAATTGTTTGTAAACTTCAATAAATTTCTTCTTATCAAGTTTACCATTAGGACAATCACGAATAAAACCCTACAATGCATAAAACATTTACAAATGTAAATTAAATATTCGATTCAATTTAACAAACCGCATGCCATTCTCGAATTTCTATATTAAAATAAAATAAACAAGCATGAAATATTTTAATTATATAGAAAAGAATAAATTAATATGTGTACCTTTTTCTGAATACTTGGTATTTGCTCTAAGTAAAGCAAGTTCTAAAATAAAAATACACATTCATACATTCTATGATGAATATTTTCAAAGAAAAAAAAAACAAACGAACGTTTGTCTGTAAGTTCAGTCGATACTTGTTTAGTTTGTTTACCACCCATGATTGTTAGTATTTATCAAATGTATAAGAAATACGCAATAGAAATCTAAAAGAAAAATTTCAGGTATCAAAGCTTGTTTATCTATGTGTATGTTTATATGCAAGTTGCATGTATCGACTGATTTGTAATGATATTTATAAAGTCGACAGAGAGAGAGAAAAGAAAAAACGAGAAATTACCTTGAATACGTGTTGGCGTATGCATAAAATGCAGCATTATGAAGTCAAAAAAATATCAAGACAAGTTATTTATACGGATGAGCAAACATGATATATTTTTTGATAATCGATGAATAGTTCGATGAATACAGCCATTATTGTTTTATTACTTGTATTAATAATTATATTTTAACATGGAGAGATTTTGAATGTGATTATGATTCATAAGTAATTGAACAATATTTTTATTAGACAACGAAAAAAATAAAATTCTATTGATGACGTATTACTACCTCTTATATACTTATGAGAGAAAGAACAATTAAAAATATATGGAAAAAAAAATTTGATTGTTTTTGTTTCAATGAATCATTGAAATTTTTCATTAATTATATCGAAAGAAAAGAAAATTAAAAATTGAACAAACAGAGCTTTTTCAATATAATAGAGTGTTCATCAACTCAAGTTTTATAAATTTAACATGTATGAAAAATGAATCTTTCAATGAGTTATAAATATTCATTTGATAATTATTTATCTCCTATCACGATTTAGAATTAGAACACTTCAAGCTGAATTTTATACGTGTTATGCAACTTTTTATTCTCTAGATAATAGAAAAATACTATTCAAAAATAAATAGTATCTTCTAGATGAAACAAGATTCACATCTGTCTTACATTATAGTTTTCGCTGACTTTTCAATAACAGAAACCAAAACATTTTTATCAATTTCCATCCCTATGATACAATTTCAAAGCAAAAAAAAAAATAAACATTCCAAATCAATGTAAAAAAACTACATTGAATCAAACACATTTAAGACGAATTTCTTCGAATGAGAATTTCACCCGTAGTCCTTCACGGCTGTATTTTATTGAAACTGCAACCCTTGGTTCCTCAAGAGATCAGTTTTTCGCAGGCAAAAATTTCTCTAAAATCTGTATAACTCAATGTAGGTTTTAATACTGATATTAAATTTCGTAATAATGTTTCTTTAAAATGATGTCATCTCAATGGAAATAGATAACATTTTTTTTTATTGAAAAAATCCTTAAAACCCATTATGTGAGAGAGATTTAAACCTGGTTTCAACCGAAAGATACAATATATTTTCGAATATTTGTTTAACATTTTATAAACAATAAAAAGTGGTATAAGATCTATAAAACTCAGTTTGGAATTTTTTGATACTAAATACTGATAAGAAATAAGTAATTATATAATGTACCTTTGAAACATTGAAAGAGTCATTTTTCATTCATCTTGGCGTCACATAACTTGAGTCAGTGAACATTGTATTACACTGAAATAGGCCATTTTGTTCAGCTTTTAGTTCTCTATATTTTAGTATAACTTATAAAAAACTTGCACAAAACAAAAAAACACTTTTTATCGATTGTCTCCTATACACCATGGTCTTATGATTGCTCCCTTAGACACAATAAATATAGTTCTTTTTCCTAACTAGCTTCAGATTTATTTAGAATCAATCGAAATATATAGTGAGTACCAAAATTGATCAACAAGCAGAATGAACTTTTTTTCGTGAGTTCATATTTTGACAACTATATAAGCTGTTTTGATACGGTTTTATACATATTGTAGCTCATATCATCTGGTATATATACACAAAGTTTCAAGTCAAACTATTCTTCTGTTCTACAAT